TAGTAGGTAGTAAGTAGTAGGTAGTAAGTAGTAGGTAGTAAGTAGTAAGTAGTAGGTAGTAAGTAGTAGGTAGTAAGTAGTAGTAGTAGTAGTAGTAGTAGTAGTAGTAGTAGTGGTAGTGGTAGTGTAGTGGTAGTGGTAGTGGTAGTGGTAGCAGCCGCAGCAGCAGCAGGTTATCTAACTTCCACAGCTCATCTAGCTTCTGAGTCACTGCCACCAGCTGTTCAGAAAGCAAATGAACATTCATACAAAAGTACATATTTAATCTTTCGCAGATCTTTCGCCAAAAAAAAAAGTTACTTTCGCCAACTCGAGAAAAAACTTTCGCCAAATGAGATTTTGATCTGTTCCGGGTCATCGTCATACACACTGCTGACTAGGACCTTTAGATCGACAACCATATATATAAATACAGTAAAACAATTGTTTCAATAATTCGTTCTTGCTGAGGAAAGCACCACCCAGGCGGTCTTTCGGGGCATAAGCCCGTGAGGTCCTTCGGGCTGTTGCCACTCAGTGTTCTCCTTGCAACACCGAGCAACCACCAAGTTTGTTCACACCACGTGTTCTCCAGCACCCCGAGGGTCCGACCAGAATGGTCTTAAAGAATGTCGCCAATCGATCCTGCTGCACCTGTGGCTGAAATGCCCAACACCCAAGGGGCTTGGCATCACTTGGCTTTTACTCTCACACACATTCTGAGTGGAAGCGCCAAAAAAACATCAAATGTGCAAACAAAGCAAGAGGATGCAAGAATATTTTGAGGTATTTGAGGCTATGGACAGGCGAGGGCATGAAGGCCGCGTAGCTGCGGCGAGAATCATCGCACAGCACAAGCTTCCACTTCAAGCCCTGCCCGGTTCGAAGGATCGAGCTGTGACAGCTGCACTGCGTTCCACTCAGGTGCACTCATTGCCACTGAATGTAACACTGTAGTTCTAGCTGAATTCATGTGAGCGTCTGCCAAAAACTTCCCATTTTATAAGAAGAAGGACAATGGTTCAGCAAGCCTTTTTCAAACCCAAACCATACTGTAAGTGTTGTATAATTTCAACAATTAGCTTTAACATGCTTAAACATCTGCAAAAACTGCGGCGGCATGGTTATGGCTTTGGAGGGGGGGCCTATCACTTTTCCAGGTTTAGCATAAATTCCTGAAATTCACGACCGCTCTTTGCTACACCGGTCATCCCATGTTTCGGTAGTTGCTCATAATATGTACTGCCACGCACGGCTTTGGATGATCTGCTTCTTTTATGTGTCTGAACAATGCTTCTTTTCAAGCTGTCTTGTGACCTCGGTAAGTCAAGGGTCTGCCACTAACTTTGTCCCAAACACTCGAAAGTCATTCTGCACACCCTATCTGCAACTGATTGGAAAGCGCCTTTATTGGCTACGTCGCTACGGTGCAATAATACATACCTCGGCATCTGTCCATTGGGCCCAGAGGGGGGGTGGCGAAAGCTAGGCAAAGAAACAACGCTGGGGCTCTTTTTTTTGGCAGCAAAAGCCTGGCCGGGAATTGCAACATGCCATGGCCCAGGGAAAAGGAGAGTGCCAACAGCGCCCCCCCCAATACGACCCCAACACAGCCAACACATGGCAACACACAACCACCCCAGCAACAGCAGCAGCAACAGCCACAACAACAATAACTGTAACCAGCAGCGGCAGCGGCAGCAAGCAGAAGCTACCAACCAGCAGCAGCAGCAGCTACCAAGCAGCAGCACCAGCTACCAAGCAGCAGCAGCAGCAGCAGCTACCAAGCAGCAGCAGCAGCTACCAAGCAAGCAGCAGCCACCAAGCAGCAGCAGCATCGGCAGCTACCAAGCAGCAGCAGCAGCAGCATCAACAGCAGCTACCAAGCAGCAGCAGCACCAACAGCAGCAGCATCAACAGCAGCAGCAGCAGCAGCTACCAAGCAGCAGCAGCATCAACAGCAGCTACCAAGCGGCAGCAGCAGCAGCAGCAGCTACCAAGCAGCAACATTAACAGCAGCTACCAAGCAGCAGCAGCAGCAGCAGCAGCAGGAGCAGCTACCAAGCAGCAGCAGCCACTAAGCAGCAGCAGCAGCTTCCAAGCAGCGCCACCAGCTACCAAGCAGCAGCAGCATCGGCAGCTACCAAGCAGCAGCAGCAGCAGCATCAACAGCAGCTACCAAGCAGCAGCAGCAGCAGCTACCAAGCAACAGCAGCATCAGCTACCAAGCAGCAGAAGCAGCAGCAGCAGGATCAGCAGCATACCAAGCAGCCCAAGCAGCACCAGCAGCAGCAGCAGCTGCTACCAAGCAGCAGCAGCAGCAACCAAGCAGCGCAGCAGCAGCTACCAAGCAGCAGCAGCAGCAGCAACAACAACGACCCTGCAGCAGCAGCAGCAGCAGCAGCTACCAAGCAGCAGCTACCAAGCAGCAGCTACCAAGCAG